ACATTCTTGCATGTTGGGAAGCTTTGCTGCTTAGCTTGGTGTTGGATCTAATTCTAGATGAAAAGGAGAAAGCATTGATTTTGATCTATGTTGCTGCAAAATGTGTTTGAAATAGAGAGCTGTGTTGTTATCTAAATTGTTGTTATCTAAATAATTTGGGTTTCTGGGAAGTAAGCTCCATTACATCTTTATTTCTTCTACATTACAGAGATCTAAAAATTGTTTTGCTGGCCAAACCAATGGTCCAGTTTCTTACTATAATGCAGTAAACAAAGCAATTTGTCTCCAGCAATAGCCAGGCAGAACCATGGGGGACATTGGAGGTAGGGCATGATGTAATGACCCTGCAATTTGCTTTGAGCATCTCTGACCATCAGACATATGACAGAACCTTGATGCTGTAAACATATTTAAGGCATCTCATGTTTCCTGAAACTGACAATATCCTGCCGCACCAATAGCTGGTGTGTTTTTTCCCCAGTTGTCTTTATTGCATTCAATTCAATGGGAATAAGATTGCCTTGTTGTAAGATAAATGTTATCCCTGGTGAAGTCCAAGACACCCTCCCTCTCTCTGTGTGGGTGTGGTTGTTGCTCACACACATACATACATGCATGCCTTCAAGTCAGAAATATTTGTGCACATGCACAGACGCACCTATAAATATATAAACTTGTCAACTGGCCATTCAGTCTCTTTCAGCTTAAAGAAGCAAGACTTCAGAAGTGGTTTGTCACTGCTTGCTTCCTAGGGCTGAGAGAGAGTGACTGGCCCATTGGCAAGAAGTTGCCAACATGCTGTATTAATTACCTTACACAAATGTTCTGGGAGAAAATGTGATTTCGGCAGCATTTATCAAATTTTTGCTGATCTTAAAAAAAAAACCATGCATGTTTAGGCCAGGCTAATGCTTGGGCAATTATTAGCATATCCAATGGTTATAAGCTTGACTTGGAAAAAAATCAGAGGCAAACCACTGGCACGAAAACAACATAGTTGCATCTACTTAACATTCTAATAAAACTAGAGTCAACTCAAGGGAGTCATTTGTAATTTAAAACAGCATATTCAACTTAGTACCACCTAATTATGTATGCTACCTATGGAAGGTCAACATTTAGGAAAAGTTGCCCAATTAGGGCTATAGTCAAACATAATGCATATTTTAGTAAATTTTAAAATAGGAATCAACATTCGGGAACACTGGAACTATTTTTGGGTTTCACAAGTGAATCCAATTATTAGGTGACTAATGTTAGATCTCCTCTAACCTCTGTAACAGTAACTATTACATCAATGAAACTGATTATATTTTTTCTGAAGTATTAACATTTTCTGATGTATTAAGTAGAAGGAAGAGGGCTGGGAAGCAAAAAAATAATTCAAAGGATTCATCTCTGTTGATTCTGTGGAAACTGAACTTACTAATTTTATGTTTAAATATCTCATCAAAATGTAATATTAAGGTATGCAGGTATACCTTGGCTAACAGTGGCAACTGAGCCTGGAATTGCTAAGTGATGCAGTCATAAAGCATAATATCATCATGTGACCATATTACTTAGCAACAGCAATTCTGGCAGTCCTGGTTGCTGTTATTTCTAAGTAAAGACTACCAGTCATTAAACAAGGATCTCACATGACCATGGCTTACCACTTCTTGCCACCTTCCCCATTGATTTCTTCTGAGAAGCTGGCAAGGAAAGTCATAAGTACTATTCATTCATCATCAAATTTCGGGAGTTGCTGAACAAATGGATGTAAGCCAAGGGCTATCCTTATAGGTTCACCAAAATGAGTACTCTATCCCAGGGGTGAAATTCAGCAGGTTCTGACAGGTTCTGGAGAACTGGTAGTAGAAATTTTGAGTAGTTTGGAAAACCAGCAAATACCACCTCTGGCTGGCCCCAGAGTGGGGTGGGAATGGAGATTTTGCAATATCCTTCCCCCAGGAGTGGGGAGGGAATGAGGATTTTGTAGTATCCTTCCCTGCCACACCCACCAAGGCACACCCACAGAACCAGCAGTAAAAAAAATTGAATTTCACCAATGCTCTATCCCCTAAATTGTCTCAGAAAGTTGTATATTCAAATATAACATTAGTAATTCACATTCCCAAGCTTTCAATTGATAAATCCTTCATGGAAATCTAGGCATCTAGAACAAGTATGTTTGAGTTACATTGATAAGTCATCTTGATTTGCCAATTTCCAAGAAGCTGCTGCTACAAAGTCATTTAATCAAAGAGGATAAAGTTGCAAGCACAAAATTAAAAGAAGTTAGAATAACTTGGCTTATTTGCATGTGAAGGGAACTGGCATATTCTTTGATTACTATAATGTTGCTACATCTGATTCAGCCGCATCATATTTGCCACCTGCTTTCTCAATAACTCTTAAAAAGAAGCAGAAGATGCAATCTAGAAATACAGTCTATTTTAACTATTTGAAATATCGTCTCTTTCAACTCCAAATTAAATAAATGCTCTGAAATCAATATCAAATTAAATGTATTTGTCATTCACATCATTATACCTCATGAATCAGAAGTCCTATAGCTTCCTGGGAAAGCATAATCATTAGCACATATTGATAAATATAAATATTATATTATTATATTCTGAAACAACCGAGATGCTGACAGGGTTGACATTCTTGGCTGTTATCCTAGAACTCAGAAGTTGGTGCCAAGGAAAAGATAAGGACTCCCACTGATGAAGTGTTGAGCTCCTGGCCTGCTGCTATTAAGATTCCTTGCCAGGACTCCATAGCAATAACTGGTGAGCATCAACAACTGTTCAAGGCAGAAAGGCCAATCCATTGGAGGAAGGGGATGGATTTGCCATCAACTTCATGACAATAAGGATTAAGTGATTAACACCAGCTAATTCCTTTATAATCAGAATGAACCATTTAGAAACAATGTTCAAGTATCTGATTACGGATGGGGAAAGAAGCAAATATTTTAATATCACTTGGATCTCTGTTTTGCAAACAATTTGTTATCATTTTGCACTTTTCTAAGGTATTTAAATGAATTATTTTAATTTTGGAGATAAGTATTTAGGGTTGCCATCTTTATTTCTGTCAGGATAGTGTTCACCAAGAACATAACTGAATGGGCACTATTAGAAAAGTACCAAGATAATTAAGGTCTGCCTCTACTTTAGATAGAAATCATTATGTCATCCAGTTTTAGATATAGATCAGGATTCACAGAACTACACAGCTAATCCTTTTACCACAAGGATTTTGTTTTTGGATCATAACTCCATTTTCCAATGGCATATGACAAATTACTTTGTGGTTAAGATTCTTCAAAAGATAATGGTGACGATTTCTCATTCAAAATAAAAATGTATAAAACTCATGATACCTGTGTTTTTAAATACATATAAATTGCTCCTTAGATTTAAATATAGAGATATCAAAGGAGAAAACAGAAATAGTCATATATTTATCACATTTCTACTTTTTCAGTTAATTTGATGTGAAACCCTCGTATTTTATGGGGACAATATTTTCATGTATCCATTTGGGGTTTTTCCCCAGATCTGGTCAATAAGTGAGGTAAAACCATGGATTACTTCTGCCATGCAAATAAATGTCCCCTTTTTACTAAAGTCAAAAGAGGCTTTCTAAGATTTTATTTTTTAAAAAATCAAGTCTTAAATTGTCCTGAGGTAAAAGTTCCTAAAATCAACACAGGAAATGAATTTAAATATGGTATCTCCATCTATTGGGAAAGTATTTTTAAGAGTAAATGTAGCAGAAAAACGAGATGTGAATATTCTCATTTTCCTAATTAGAAGGAAGAAAAATACAACAAAGAAGAAGAAATTGAAAAAATTATCCTACCTCTGTTGTGGCTTTTAAAAAGTGATAGTTTTTAATGGGGCAACCCTTTTCCAATACAACCTTAAAGAAACCTAGTTCACTCAGAAATAATGTTGATTTAAATGCTACAGACAGGGAATAATACCATTCAGTGTTGAAATGGACTTCAAAAGGGAATCCAAACTTTCAAAATTTAGATGCACGTTATTTTTTAAAAGGAAGGTGGACAAGTGGGTGCTTGTGGATCCTAGTATGCCTGGAAACATTCTTTTTTCTATCTTCAGATTCTTGCCCCTGTTTTGTAAAAGACTCATTGAATTTAAATAATTAAACATAGGAAGCCAACAGCACAAAGTAAGGACCCAGCCACTAGCATCAACTTCTTTCATCGGATATCCTCTGAGTCCCATTTTTAGAAAACTGGGTGTAGTTGCAGCAAAAGCCTTACTGACCTTCTCAACTAGAAAAAAAAAGTAGTGGGAAGTGGGAAGGATCTTGCATTGCTAGGGAGAGTAAGAAAGCAACTTTGCCAAATTGACATCTGGTAAATGGATGTTTTGTGATCAGCCACACTACTGTGGAAATCTTTTTGTGAGAACTCCAGTGACAAGCTTCAAAAATTCTAAACCCAAGTGGGTTTCTTATGTCTACTTTAAAGGGTACTTCTGCACTGAAGAGCCCACACATTTCTCTTTGGCATTCACTTATTTAACAGTTCGAAATCCTTTCTATAGTGTAAATCTACATATTAATTAATTCACTGGCATTTCCTGTTTATTATAGGCTTTCCTATGTATGGTCTCTTTCAAATATGTTGGGCCTTAGCTTCCATCACCCAGTATGGGGCCTTAGTTATGGACATTGTGAACATATGATTTAAACACAACTAAATGGCACCAGATTAAAGGAAGAACACTTTAGAAATGCTCCATATGAAGGCTACATGTATTTCTCTAACAAGAAGTTAGAGAATGGAACCCAATGGAACGATCTCCCCGTGGAGCTTCGTACCCTCACCACCCTCCAGTCCTTCCGCACAGCCCTTAGAATCTGGCTATCCCGTCAGGCCTGGGGCTAAAGATTGTTACCCGCCCGAATGGTATGAATGTTGCGTTTTTAATCATGTACTGTCTTATATGTAAAAGTCTGTCCCCCCTTCCCTTTTGATTGTGAGCCGCCCTGAGTCCCCCCAGGGAAAAGGGCGGCATATAAATAAACAATCTAAATCTAAGTGTCCATGATCTGCCTCATGGAAACATATTTTAAAAAGCTACACACTTGTAAACCTTTTTGTTTGCATTTTCTTTTAAAATTTATTTATGCAAGCTCTTCACTCCACTTGATTTTAATTTAGTTATTTTTAATTTTAAAACAATAATCAGAAGCTGGGATGCTGCAAAACATACATATCAGCCTCTAATAAAAAGGTCCCTAGGCCTTATGGGCATCCCTTAAAAGTCCTTAGGAAATAAGGATTGGTGGGTAGCTACAATACTGAAAAATGCCCATCTTCCTAGAAAGGTAGGCTGTGTAATAGGGAGCAATCTCTCCAGATGGCTTTCCGATAAATGGGTATTCGGGTATATCATGGGCCTCATTCCCAGATGCACCATTTTCTAAAAGTGCCCCAAGAGCTTCCAAATATGCCTCTGAGCCCTCAAAGGTTGTCCCATCTTTTTCTAAACACTTGATCATTAAATTATAGAGCAATTCATAAGAAACTCCTTGATAACCATGCAACTAGTCAGAAGGAGGAAGTTGTCATACCACTTTTCCCTTTTCATAATCACACATCCTCTGTAGTATTTGTAAATTGTTAGTGTTAATTTCATCTACTCAACATGGGGTCTCAAAGTTACAGTTTTGCATCACGTGACATCCTGAATAGAGAATTCAGGTTCTATCTACATTCCATTTGAAGTCAATGGCAAAATTCCCAGAAATATTCATTGTATTGCCTTGCAACCTCAAGGCAATTAAGGATATTCCTTGATATTTTATGAGCAGCCATTATATCAACTCAGCAAAAGAAACAAATATACAAATTATTTATTTTTCATGGAAGAAAGTATGTTAAAATACATGTCATTAATCTTTAACTTGGGATCCGTTAGGCTTCTTTCTTGTTTTGTGTGTGTGTGTGTGTGTGTTCCATTTTGCACAGGAACCTGGTATCTCCATTTGACATCACAATCTATTAGGGTTTTTTTTTGTCATGAGCATGATGTCAAAAAGAAAGGCACTGATGTCACAGGCTCTCTAGTGCAATAACAAGGGATGAAAAGAAATGACAGGGCACCATATTCCTGCTGTAACTTATTTAAATTAAAATAAAGGTGATATATTCACTGGAAGCACCAAATTAGTCTAACACTGGCAACTGCTACAATAGCCAGTGTGTGAATTCATGCTACCTAAGGACCAAGAAACACACTCACACAAGAAACATGGTCTCTCTTAACAACCAAGATACATATATGTTTTTCCAACACTTAAAAAAACCATATATTGGAGATTCAAAGTTGACTTGCTGTCTTGTTTCTTAATGTTAGCAAGGCATGTTGTGTTTCATTCACTATGAGATCCAAATCAAAATCTGGAAATAGGATGTAGAGTAGGAGATGGGACATTAAATGCAAAAAAAGAAGTCATTGATCAGAAAAACATACTTTTTGCTAAAAACAGGGTGGGGAATAAAGCTCAAGAAAAGCCCACAAAAGATCTACCATTTAATGTTGCAAGTTCATGAGAATGTAGGAAGGTCTCACAGGGAGGGACGATTAATTTCAGAAAATGAGTGAAGACAACCCTCTTGGATGGAAAAAGCATTGTGAAGAGCTAGTGAAGCTAAAAGTTAAAAGGATAATGCCCCACAGTGTAGACTTCCTGAAGTAGCTTAGTAGTTGTACTGGCGCTGGCATGGTTGGTAGACAAAGTGGCCTTGGTGTTTGGCCCGTTGTGGGCGGCACTCTCTGGCACGGTTCTGCCTCTTCATGACTTTCTGACTCAACTTGTGCTTCTCTGCTAACTGCTTTGCCCTCTGAATCCGACGCACTTGATTGACCTTCTCCAAGATGGCAGCCTTGGTAGCAAGAGAAGTGGAGTGGTGTGGGGGACGGCGCTGTAAACAGTTTTCAGGTATTTCGCTGCAGAAAAAAAAGGCATACAGGGTGAGATGGATGCAGCACTTTTGATATGGCAACCACCTAATTCGAAGAACCAAGACCATATCATTTTCCCTTAATAGCAAAAGAGTGATTCACAAAAAAATAATGTAAACAACTCATCCATAAATATGGTAAGGAACATGAGCTACGACTCCCACAAACTACAACAAAATGCACAATAGCTGTATATATAGACCAGGGGTGTCAAACTTTATTTCATTGAAGGCCACATCAGGGTGGTGTTTGATTTCAGGGGGCTGGGTGGGCATGACCAGGGTGGGCATGGCCAGTTCAACATCTTGCAGTCCATGAGTGGCCTTTCTGGGCTCTGTTTTTGACTGCAATGGCCTCCTGCAGCCCTCTCCCAGTGAAAACACACCCCCCTCCTGAACTCCATTTTCACTGGCAGAGGCACTGACAGAGGCACCTTCACTGTTTCCAGGGCAGCCCCATGGGCCAGATCTAAGCACCCCATGGGCCCGATCCGGACTGCGGGCCTTGAGTTTGACACCCCTGGTATAGACAACTCATGAAATGTCCCTTCCTCCTACTTTTTTCAGGGGTAAAGTTATGTAACTATGGATCTGTTCAGGCAGGCAGTTCAGCTATGCAATAAAAACCAAAGGAGAGTAAATGGGGACTGCTGATGGCTTCGTGCATCCAGGCAGCAGGAGGCATATCTCAGCATGTATCTGCTGTAATGTACATTGTCCTCCATAGGTAGCAAAATTCCTGGGTTATATCATTGCAGCAAGTAGGGAAAAGTTCTGATATAAACAAAATTAGTAAGCGTTTTTTGCCTGTCTATATTATTCTATTCACAGAGAGGAATGAAACATCCTGTCATACTTGTAGGCCTATCTGGAGCTCAGAAATATGAATGGTACTCTATGAAAGTTGAGAATATCTGAGCATATTTTTATTTTGCTACATCAAAGAATCCATTTGGGGGAGCGAGAAAAAAACACTTAAGTGGGAGAGCCAGCCAACCTAATAAAATAGGAAGTGATAGTAAAAGCAGAACGTAGCAGCATTTGCAGAAATGAAGTTCCTTAAGTATTCTTTTTACAACAAAAAATATAACCCTGCTCCTATGTACTTTAAAGTAAGTCCCACAGATTTCATAGACTCTTTAAAGAAGGGGGAGGGGGGGAAGAAGTTTTCCCAAGTTGGTGCAATCCTCTGCTAACTATTTAGCTCCTCTCACATACTTACCTGGATATACTTTTATATAAGTTTAAATGTATATACATAATATTCTGCTTGCAATGCTGGGAGATATAATCTCAAAACATTGAGAACCCACCAGCTCAGGAAATGTTGGGCTGTAGTATATTTTTTTGGAGCTGTGATATTTGTGAAGAGGAACATGGGAGGCTCTTAGTAAATGTCTGAAACTTTTAGGCCCTGTCCTGAACTTACTTCTCCTGGATGTTCTCCTCAGGATCCTCTCTTTCCACAATGATGCTGGTGGTGGTGGTGACATATACAGACATGCTGGGATGCTCAATCAAGAGGTCCTCCATGGGGCTGCTCTCCATACTGACAGGATCAGGACCTTCTGCAGTAAAACAGGGGGGAGGAGTAACAAACCAACTCTCATCCATCAAGCAGGGGTCAGGCTGAGAGGGCATGGACCTGCTGACACAGTCACTGAGGGAGTGGGGTGAAGACGTGGTAGGTGGAAGGGACCCATGGCGGCAACGGGAAGCGCAAACAGAATCCTTCTCACCTACCCACTGCTCAGTGCCAAGACTTGAAGCCAAACTATCTAATAAGAGATGGCAGCAATCACCGACCACACAAAATGGGGACAGCCAGAACAGCAGCAACAATGACAGAAACAAAATTCAAAAGAAACATCATAGTGCAAAGCCATTCAACAGGAATGCATGGCAGTGCAGGGTGCGTACAGGAAGGAAAACAGTGCACACATTCAATAAATTCAATGGATGGGAAGAGGGAGGAGGAGAAGGGAGAAGGGAAGGAAGGAGAAGAGAAAGGAGGGGCATTATTAGTGAAAAAGATACCCCAAAGGCATTGGTGTGTCTCATCCTGAAGTCTTTCCTGATGGCTTAGGACTGCCCCAAGATATTTCACTATCCTGTGATGCCAATACTAAGCATCACTTGAGATTGCAGCTGTGTGTCACTTGTGGTGTGCTTTCTGACATTTTTTGCCACATTTTCAGGTGTTCCAGTTGGTATAAATCTCTCTGTGTGTGCCATTTTATTTGTGGCCATAAAATAGGTCTACATCAGTTGCCTGTGAAAATATCCCAATAATTATCATGTAAAGGAGGAAAATAAATCTCCTGAACCAAATAAGGCAGTGGGTTGTGCTACTGGGTTATTAAATAACCAAACAGACAAGAGTGAGAAGAATATTTGCCAATAATAAGATTGCCTAAATCTCTCAAAAAGAGTAAAAATCAATTGCTGATGAACTACAGACGCTAATGTCTTTACATGTGTACTGTTCTAATATTCAAGGAGATTACAGCAGGACTTTATTTTTTGCAAAAATGACTCCATAGGGAAATTTGGGAGCAGGGAGGATAATTTATAATTAGATGGGTGGCATCTCCAGCAGACAAGGATTTTTTAAAGTCCCTTCCTCAATAAAAATAACCTTCTATCTTATCCTACTAAAATTGACCCAATCATCACATACTAGAAGAGAGATTTTTTTAAAAAAAATTAAAGCAATAATCCTATACATTTTTAGAGACAACAGCTGCATAATTCAAACAAATATTGCACTAAAATTTGTCATATAATTCTCACTTATTTGCAACTCTTGGAAGCAGTTTTGTCCTTTCTCAAGCTCACATAGTAGCCCCACTGGCTTTACTTAACTTTTCCATTTTCAGGGAGGGAAATGGGATTGTTAAGAGTTGCATCAGGTGCTGTTTTTGTACGGCACATGCTTCAAAACACCTCTTTGGATTAAATGTAAAGTATTACACATTCCTATTTAGCATGTAGACCTCAAATGCTAAAATGTCTATCCAGCTGGATCATCACCAAGTTTGCATTGCAATGACCTGATTCTCTTCCAGCGCCTGCATAATGTCCTTTGAAGTTTTTGTAGAAGGAAAAAAAGATGTCATCCTTCCTGCATATGAACTCATACTGAAAGCTGGCTTGGTGGCACCCTAATTATGCAGCTAAACAATTTTTCTTCCAGCTTGCAACAATGATTGTGTCAACCGTTGTATGTTTCAGGACAGAGCCTTTACATGGGAGATTGGGGTGGGGGTAGGGGGTTAGAGGGAGACAATTTTAGCCCATTTTAGCCCAGAGACTGGGAAGGAAGATGAAGCTGCTTGTCACAGGCAGTTTCTATAAGCAGAGAAAACCAAGGTGAACAGTTGTGTGTGTTTTTTTAAATAGGCACCATGAAACTAACTTGAAAAATGGTGGTGAGGTTTGTTGATAAGGTTGCTTCTTAAAGTCTACAGTACTAGAGAGCTCCCAATTCAGGCAGTGGGAGCAGAATTAGCCAAGAGTTCCCACAAACAGGGAAGCAGGCCACGTCTAATCCCCCAGATTGTCTATTGTCACAAACTGCAAAACAGACCTTTCGCTATTTGAACGGTGCCACAGCTGAGCTGGAAGAAAATGTGTTTGGCTGTTAAGAAAGGTGATGTCATGGAAACATGGCAGCATGTTGCTATGTCAGAATTGATGTAAACATTACTTGTGGAGAACTCTCGGGAGTAGATTTTTAGGACACAAAGGCAGCTGCGGTTGACAGAGATTTGAGACTACGTCCCGGACTATAGTTCTGCATAAAGCCAATGCGCACAGCATTGGTTCTTTATTGTATTTGCCTTTACATTGCCATTTTCTTCTGTATTGCAGTCATTCCCAAGGTGATATTCCAGAAATCTCTGCCACCTAAATTAGAATACTTGTATTGCAATGCCTTTTTTCTTGATTTGTTGGCTTGAAACATAAGGTTTGGAAGTGTGTTTGTCAACTCAGATCATTGCAGAAAATAAAATATTTTAAAAGTCTAATTTTCACAGTGCTTCTATTAGAACCAAATGGGACTTTTGTATGCCTATCATTATCCAAGCCTATGGGCGCACAGCACTAAGGTTACACACGGAGACATTTGCTTTAGTTACTGGGACACTGTGAGCATCCCAAACCAAGTCTCTGGTTAGATCTGCTGACCTTTGTGGAGAGGATTATCTAAAGACAAATGAAGTGGCCTCTTGTTTTGATCAAACAACGGAGCTCTTTCCCTGTGCTGTTGTCCTAATTCTGAATTGCCCTGCCTCAAAGCATCTCTAACTGCAGAAGGAAAAAAGCATTGGCTGCTGTAACAAGTCTTATTCTATCCTCCATAATAGGGAAGGGAAACTTGTTTCTTCCAAAGGGTAGCAGGAACTCCAGAACTACTCCAAAAGTCCCAGTGGAATATAATGTGTTACTGTGACAAAGAGGGAAAATAACTAAGTCAGTGGTTCTCAATCTTCCTAATGCTGTGCCCCTTTAATACAGTTCCACATGTTGTGGTGACCCCCAGCCATAAAATTGGTGTCTCGGTTCCTAAGACCATTGAAAATATGTGTTTTCCGATGGTCTTAGGTGACCCCTGTGAAAGGGTTGTTCAACCCCCAAAGGGGTCCCGACCAACAGGTTGAGAACCACTGAACTAAGTGCATGTGGTGTAATAAGATTAACCTCACTGAATGGAAGTTTCAATTGAAATTATATCAACTTTTGTTTTTGTCTTGTGGTGGGGAGTCTGCCCTCTACTGCAGAGTTCACCAACCTTCCAGTTTTGCAGACTGGCCGATGGGGTGGGTGGGGAGGGGGAATCAGATGGTTCTGTGTGAGCAATGGGCAAGCACGTGTATGCGCTCAGCTCCATTTATACAAGCACTGGGCACGTACACACATATTTCATGCAAATGGGGTGCATACACATGTACTTGCCCACTGCCCGTGAAATTGGGGATGCATACGTGCGCTCGCCCACCACTTTCACAGCCCAGTTCCAATGGGCTCAAGGCCCAGTACTGCCTCCTCTACTGTGTTCCTGGGTTTGAAAGCTGGGCATCTCTGCCCTGGTGTCATGGTATGTGGGAAAGACCTTGGGAGACAGGAGGAGGGAGAGCTGCAAACTGGACAACTGGTGTGTTACCGGTATCAAAAGGGAGAGAGTGTGGGAAACATTTCAGAAAGGACCCTCTCTAGTTTTCTAGAGAGTGAAAGGAAAGTATGGAAGAAATACTTTCCGTCTTGTAAAATTCTCTTAATATAACTTTATAATAAGGATAGAGCTAATACTCTTAAACATGCTTCTTGTCTTCACTGTGCTAACATCTGGGAAATCACCACTTCTTCTGGAACTCTATGGACAATTCTAGGATCACTTATATAAATACACCAACACAGTCTTACTTACAGACTATTCTCTCATTCCCCTATAAGGATTAGTAACAGTCAGTAGGTCATTTAAAACTGGGAGAAACATGGAATCCCATGCGGTCACTGTCAGAATTCTGATCAAAACTAAAACTCCCTGCAGCTTTTTCTAAAATTATACGGAGAAATCATGGCTTGCATTTCAAACAGCAGTAGCAATTCTGAATTCGCATGTATTTGGATACAGGAATATAAAGTGTTTCATACATCAAGCATAAACTCTTTCAAAGTATTTAAAGTAGAATTCTCATAGACAAGAAGTTGCATACAGTGTGCCAGTGCACTGATTCAATTATCTCATAGAATTTACGATAGATTATGATTACTTAATCCAGAGGTGTGCCTGCAAATTTTGAAGTACAGGAGATTATCCTGACTGCCTAAGGACAACAGTAGCATATTATTTATTAGCTTGCAAAATATATTGTTTGTAATCTGTCTCTGGAAAGAAGCTTTACTGAACTAAATGGTGCTTACTTTCTGCTTCTAAAACAAATGAATTTTAATAAAAGGCCTTGATCTATTGTAATGTTTATTAGAAACCCAGCCTTAAATTTAATTAGAAATCCAAACCATCTTACAATTAAATATTACCATTTATTCTGCTAAGTGAACTGAGATCTGATAGAATAAGATTCTGGTTTCTGTTTAAAATTGTTTTTCTTCATTCTCTCGTTTTCTCTTGGTTAGCCTACCACTCATAATATTAAAAAAGGAAAACTATAAATCCTTATGATAATCCAATTTATTTGCAAAAAACAAAGAAACCTATCTATTAGCTTGGTGCTTAAGCAGATGACATCCTCCCTCTGTTGCAGAAAAATAATGTTTACATCATTGGACTGCTCATCACAGCTGATGGATTTGAAGGCAGATACTTTGCTGATGTCTTAAATAAGCCTTGTGCAATTTTGGTACCAGGAAGAAGGTGATCATAATTATATCCCTGATTATCCAGAGGAACGTGTTTAGGTTTTTGTTATTGTCCCCCGCCCCCAGCAACCAGTATTGCATTTTAATTAAGATGTATACAGACTATGGCTATTTGTATATAATCATTACATATAATGATTATTTTGATTTAAACCAACCTTCTCCAATTGATGCCCTTCAGACCGAATCAGTTTTAATTCCAATACCCCATAGCTATATACAATGACTATGTTGCTTAGGAATATAGAAATGAAAGAAACACTAGATTATATAACTGGATGGCATATAAATTTAATAATTATGTTTTGTAATGGGGGTGGGGGTGATGGCTCAGTGGTTAAAGACACTAAGCTTGTCAGTTGGAAAGCTGACAGCCTGAGTTCAAGACCTGAGCGCTGCATGATGGGATGAGCTTCCGTTACCTGCCCCAGCTCCAACCCACCAAGCAGTTTGAAAGCATGCAAATGTGAGTAGATAAATAGGTTCCACCTCAATGGGAAGATAACAGCGTTCCGTGCACTTTGGCATATAGTCATGCTGGCCACATAACCACAGAAATGTTTTTGGACAATGCTGACTCCCTCAGCTGGAAACAGAGATAAGCATCGCCCCCTAAAGTTGAAAATGACTGGACAAGGGAAATATTTACTTTTATGTACTGTTATTATTATTTGCTTTAGGAAATTTTTATGAAACATCCATCAGTCTCACCAATGTTGGCTGGGTTAGTTCACATACTGCAATGTGTAGGAATTAAAAAGATGGAAAATCTGTGGGCCTTGAGGTGTTGCTAAATTGCAACTGTCAGCATTCCCTAACATTGGCCATTTTGTCTAAGCCTACTGGAATTTATAATTCCAGCTACAAATTCTGGAAGGCCACAGGTCAGGAAACAATCAAGGCAAGGAACTATACACTTTCCTCCAGATGTCTTTCTCTCATAATGCCATGTGTGTAAGACCTGTGTCTCTCATGAAAAAAAAGGCAACTCTATGTTTTCCCTTAGTCAGAAACTGTCAGTTAATGAACAGATTATCCTCATCCTCTACTGGTAGTTCACTTGGCTTCCATCCCTGCCATTCAATGCATGCAGGTTTTTTTGTGCTTCCTGTCCTTCTCTAGGGAGAGGTTATGCGGTGCCCTCCGAAATGTTTTGGATAACAACTACTACAAATGCTCATTGCATGATCAGATGGTGGTATTGAGGGGAATTGTGGTTTTTTTTTAAAAAAATTGAAAGACACTGGGTTGACTCTCCCTGTCTTTTTCAAGAAATAACTGGGCTAAGGCAAGAGCGGGGGCCCTGAGCCGTATTGTATGGCTTCCTCTTTCCTGTTTCTCAACTGTTTCCCACAGTTCACCTAAACAATTTTGAGGCATTGTCATTTGAACTATATTGGGGAAGTTTAAATTCATGCATCTCTTTTTTTCACAGTTGAACATTGGGAAGGAGTATTGAGCAACAAGATTGTATGCTGCCTTGCCCCATTTTCTCAACCATTCAGTGGGAGAGTACGTTGCATCTGCTAATTCTCCATGCCTTATTCATGAGTGTAGCACTCATTGCTTAATGCTCCAGTTTCTGTTCAGAAGTGCTAAAGGCTCCTATAGCATGAGGCACATAAAGCCCAAGTCACAGATCAAATGCAAGCATGTTCTTAAGGAAACAACAGTACTTTTAACCTGAAACCTGTTTTATAGCATACTCCAGTATATTGGCAAAAATAAAAAGGGAAGTATAATAATTTAGTTTCATGTCAAGATACTAAAATGTAACTTAATAAACTAAAGAGGATTTATAAGGAGAAACAAGTTAAAAGCAAAGCTATGGAGAACATTGTTGACTAGGCTTCTTCAGTTAATTTGCAAGCAAATGATGCCACTGGAAACGGTTGAGTCATATAATTTCCATTCAACAGCAAGGCAGAAGTCTGGCTGGCCTGAAAAACTGGCCTGAAAAACTAGTCTGAGAAACACATAGAATTTTAAGCTAAACATGTAATTGTAAATAGATTATTTGGATTCTTGTCAGATTTCAGACATGCGTATGGGACAAAAGCTCTTGTAGATGGCTAATAAGACCAGTGATCAAGCACTACCCGTGTATAAATTTAAGAATAACTGCCTAACTTTATTTTTGTTCCAATATCTCCTTGTTTCTTTTTGCCCTCTATATCATTTTTTGAAAATGCAATTTAGACACACTCCTTCCACTCTGCAATTTGAGAACGGTAATGTGAAAATCCAATTATATCCTCCAATGTTTCTCACCTGGCAGATCAATAATAAGCCATCCATCTTCTTCTTCCTCTTTAGAAACAAAAGGCTTAGGTTCCTCAACGACTTCAACTGCGCTGCTATCACTGAAGAAGAGGCTGGTGAAACGCTGGAACATGGTGGGAAAAGGATTTCTAATATGGACTTTGAAAGAAAAATGGAAGCACAGCTATCGATGCTTGTTTCAGTGTGTGTAGCCAGAAGGTGCTTCTGTGGTGTAAATTTGGGGAGAAATTGATGGACGAGTCTTCCAAAAAAAGCAGGAGCTGTCTGACGCTCGGGTATTTTTCCCCTCTGAAGTCTTATCTGACTTGAGTTCTGTATAGTGCAATCATAAGGTTCTTCACTTGGCTTCAGTGCAAAGGCCTATAAAGATTAAGGGTGGGGTGGAGAGAGAGAGAGAAGAGAGAAAATAATTTAAATAAGAGCATTGAATCACAAGGAACTCAGATGAGCCTAAGAAAAAAAGGGAATAGTATTCCTGGCATGGATCATAAACTTAATTTGCTCTGATTATGACCTTTTCCTGGTGTCTTTTAATTTAATCTCTGTAAGGCAGCTTTCCTTCTTACTCTTACTGAAAACATTTCTTCAGTGATTATTTCAGCTTTTTGAAGATCCTCTCAGTCTTGGGAAGGATGTTTCCTACATGCTCAGCCTCCTTGTATTAATGTTAATATGTTTTCTCTCATAAACATGCAAAGATGCTTCTTGTTCCAAGACCCTGAATTGGATTTGTTAAGAGGACAAATTCGGGATCTCTTTTGATACTCATATTGCAAGTAATAGTTGATAATTCAGGATATCAGTCAATTACCTATCTGTTTTCTCACCCCTTACTTTCATTCTTTCCTTGAACATTTCTACTCCAATGAATCCTTTCAATTTGAAACCATCTCTTGGGATTAAAAAGTTAAAATCTCCCTTCAGTTGCACTCAACTCCATGTAATTTTCCTTGGTATCAGTAAAAGACATATTTGTCATTGCCACTTAGAGATATTTTATTTAACTAACCCCAATCTAGTCACATCTATGGGCTTTCTTGATGGCCTCTCACCCAAGCACCCTCTTCAGTTTTTGAGACCTGGCAAGATTCAACAAGGTGTGCTACATGTCCCATATTTGACCATACTAGGTGGAGATTTTAGAAATTGCTGTTTCAACCCCTCTGTAAGGCACAATATTGTAAACATTACCTCAATATAGCCTCAGACCTGATATTAACAATTCCAGTGTCATCACTGTCCACAATATGGAATTATAGCATGTTGCTGTTGCTTAACCCAGAACCCTTGATAATGCTACCTCTTTTTCACCATTACTTTCTTTAAAATCTATAATTTATGTAGATCAATGATATAATTTGCTTATAACTTCATTCTACCATAATTAAGTTTTATAATATACAACCCCAAGTTTCTTTGTGTGGTTTTCTGAATTGGATCTTTTTATAACAGAGGTTTGGCAGACATTTTGACTAAAACAATACACAAAACAATTTAGCAACTTATTTTACTTGTAGACATAGTATGCCACCACTAGTCTCTCTTGCATTTATGTTTTCATTCCCCCTCCCCCCAAAGTCTATCTTCCCAGCCACCAAAAGGCTTTCTGCAATTGCTATAAAGCCCTAGGCATAATTTCTACCAGTATTATATTGTTGTTTCTATTAACTATCATCTTGCTGTACTAAGTCTAGAAGCCAGAAACAGACTAACAAAGGTTTATCAGTGGTCAATCTATTCCAATCTTCTTTACTGAATGCCCCTAAAAGAATTGGACTACAAAATCAATGACATCACAGTCATCTTGCCCATAGGACATGACCAGCTTTGTAATCCAACTTACTGGTGAGTTTTAGATAAGGGGAAATAAGTTTCTCTTACAATTTAAGAACTCCAAGGAGAAAAATTGTCCCAACCCTCCTCCCACAGGGAAATATTTCCACTATTACAAGATTTCCCCCTCTCCCAAAGAATCAGTCTGTAGTTTTAATCTGACATTTAAACCAGTGTTATGCATTTCTGCCTTGCAGCTTCTCAACAGCTTCCTTCTAATATTAAACAGGTTTTTATGCTATCTAGACCAGTATTTTCCAGCATGCAAAAGGAGTTGATATCCATTCTGGCTGTGGAGTTCTGAGAATTGAAGCCCACCCATCTTAAAGTTGCTAAGGTTGAAAAAAATTGAAAAACACTGATCTATATTTGATGAAGATTGGTAGGAAACTAGGGATGTGGTGGCTCAGTGGCTAAGATCACAAAGGTCGGCAGTTTGGCGGCTCAAATCCCTAGTGCTGCCTAACGGAGTGAGATCCCATTACTTGTGTCAGCTTCTGCGAACCTAGCAGTTTGAAAGCATGTAAAAATGCAAGTAGAAAAATAGGAAACACTTTTGGTGGCAAGGTAACAGCGTTCCATGCGCTTTTGGAGTTTAGTCATGCCCGGCCACATGACCATGGAAACGTCTTCAGACAAGCGCTGGCTCTTTGGCTTTGAAATGGAGATGAGCACTGCCCCCTAGAGTCGGGAATGACTAGCAGATATGTACGTGGGGAACCTTTACCTTTACCTTATTTTTAGGTAGGAAACTAATGCAGAGAATTTTGTGGCACAGCAATCATTTAAAACTACAGTTTCTTTTACTGCTAACATCAATTAACTTCCTACCAGCCAAACGTTTCCTACCTTCCTACCTTACCAAACCAAAAAGACCAGTATTATTTCCATGCTTGCTATCCTCACAGTAACCTTAAGAGCATTTATGCCAACAATCCTTACAGCAACCCTGGGATTACAACTGACAGGAGGTCACGCTTCCTCTGCTGAGGAGAGATTTGAAAATAAAAGTCCAGCATTCTTAATTGCTACTCTGAATTGGCTCTAAAGTTATTCCATCCTTAGTAAAGAAAGCAAAAGGCTTGCTTCTTTCCATCTTTTCAAGTGGTTGAATGCAAGCAATGCATTCATCCAAACGGATGGAAGAACATCAAGAGCAGGTTCCTCTCTTAGCTACTAAATGAGGATGGAGCAGAACTCTGCTGCCACCGTAGGAACATTTGTAATTGTTTGCTAGAAGTGTTTTTTACACTGGTACTATTAAGCCAAGGCTTTGAATAAAAAATCCAGGAATTCAGGCACTGCCAAGTTTCAATTCCACTTCCAAATTGAATGTAGTAGAGATTCTGAATTAGCAATTTTACTTCTTAATTACTAATTATACAATTATGTAATGTACTCATTTTCACCAAAACTACAGGTTTTCAGTTATGTCCAGTCTATCATACCAACAGCAGAGTAGATAATCAATAATTGTGTCCATTTGTTACACATTTGTTATCTTTTTCAAACAATATATCTATGCCACATTTTAGGCCAAAGCCCTGCCGAGAAAATATGCCTACACTCAAAATGCCAAAAGATGTATTTGAAACAGCAGTTAAAAATTATTTACAACTAATTTAACAACTGAGAAAGACAATTTAAAATACAGGTGCATTAATATTGACCATACAAAATAGTTTTTTTTTAAATCAGCCTATCAGTTCAGCGGAACACATCTTCAGAAGCATTTTTATAGATTACAATTATGCAAATCAGGTTTTCTGATGTTAGCTCAATCAAATCATCTTTGCCAAATATTTGCCTGGTAGTAAGATGATTACCGGTAATAACACAGATCCCTACAGGATTATAATTTTCTTCAAATTGTAGGAAGGATGGAAGAAATATGTTTAGTTCTCTCTTGAATGCTTATTTAGTTTCCTTTTTTAAAAAACTGATATACAAAATATTTTTTTCCCAATCACCCCAAATTTCTTTAAAATTGTCAGTGTAGTTCATTACCAATTTTTAAAATGTACATTCGGGGGGGAAAGCTTTTTAAAAAATTGTTTATATAAAGCTAAATAGTTTGAGAAATTTGCATTGAAAGTACAAATTTTAGTCTGAATTTACAGTATTAAAAATTCTCAATGAACCACACTTATGGCATTTACAAAAACAAGGAACTGGAGGGAAAAATCTGAAATGGATAGAATAGCCAAGCCATAAGGCACAAATTTAGTTTCCCTATTGACTGTGTGGCCAGAACTTTTACACATCAATTGACACTGTCCAGATCAATTGGCACTTTTTCTAGAAATATAGGGATGGAGGCTATAAAAAAAACCCACTGGAAGATAGAAGTCTTTAAATACAGTTTATAAAATGTGGATATGTGTGTGTATGTATGCATGTATGTATGTATGTGAATGTGTATAATGCAATGTAGAAGTACTTCAAAAGTTCAGCTTTAATAATGCAAATCTCACTATGAACATTATTAATAGTTGCTTAGATACTGGAAAGAACTTCATCTGTTCTAAATGCTTTAACAGACATTGCACAAAGGAGGAGTATGTGCTACATGGCTCCTATTCTACCTTGCATGGTTTTCTAAATGCATAGTTCTATGATATGGTGGGTCTCCACTAGAAACAGTGGAAATGCTGTGGCCAAAAAGAATTATACAATGCAATCCTTTGAGCATTTATTTCAGGCCTGAAGACCCAATGAAAGGGTAGAAAAAGCATATCTCGGGACTCATATGTAGCCTAACAGTATAGATTTTGCATTTCTATTTCTTTCCCTCAAAGTTGGTTTCCCTACCAAAAAAACTCCATCATTTTTGTCTGCACACATGTATTTAAGATTTGGGGCAGATTAAGAACCCATTGAGATTAAGAACCCATTGAGATTAAGAATCCACTGAGCAGTGACTCAGTGGCTAAAGCGCTGAACTTGTCGCTAAGAAAGGTTGGCAGTTTGGCGGTTCAAATTCCTAGCGCTGTGTAACAGAGTGAGCTCCCGTTACTTGTCTCAGCTTCTGCCAACCTAGCATGTGCGCTTCATGTGCACTGCGCATGCATGTGTAGCACAACTAAAATTGCTCTGAGCATGCGCAGAAGCAAAAAATAAGACGGCTGCACTTATGACAGTGCTGGGAGAACCGGTTCGGGGGCTTGGAAGGCCTGAGTCGCTGCCAGTTCCAGCAACCCAGGCCCCCAAGTTACTACCGGTTTGGCCGAACCAGTCCAAACTGGTAGGAACCCACCACTGATCCCAGTCTTCTCCAATGTTGTGTCCTCCAGAAGTTTCTAATTGTAGTTATTATTGCCAAACTCTTGGTAGATTAGAATTCTAAAGCTATAGTTAGTTTATCTCAAAGAATGCATATCTCACCCAGTTAGAAGGTGCAATGATATAGAACTTATCCTAGAGGGAATTCTGGAGTGAAGAATTTAGGAAAGTCTGAGTCAGGAATAGTATATGATTTCCCAGCCAAAAACATTCTTCATGTACTCTAGAAGTTGTTCAAATGAGTG